CCTCATGTTTACCATTGTAATGTGGATATTCAATAATATTAAAACAGAGCCCCTAAAAATATGTCACACAGGAATTTAAAAAAGAAATTTTGATGGATTAATATATGCCCTTACATTCCAAAAAACAAATTTTTCTTAGTTTGTCAGTATCTCAACCAGTTATATTATTTCTTTATTTTCCAATTCTGTTGGTCATTCTCTTTTCTCAGGTTGGCAATTAACGATTAAAAATATCTGTTGTTTTGATTTCAACTCTCCTTTTGTGGATTGCAGATTATTTTCCCCAAATTAATTTATTTCTCTCTGCACCACAAATCTGCAACTGACATAAGGGACACACTGCAATTAAGCCCTTAGCAGGCCAACGAATGAGGAAATTACTGTAAATATGAACTTTTAATTTTTCCTTACTTTTAAAATGTTCAGTTTAATAAGACAATAGCTAAGACTATTATCAATTCCCTTGTTTTAATTAGAAGACAGTTTACTTGGGGATTTTCTTCTCCTCCTCCCTACCATGCAGTTTTTGTTACTATAATATCAATAAACCACTCAGATTTTTTGGATCATTGCTATGGTTTGAATGCATCCCCCAAAGTTTATGTGTTGGAAACTTAATCCCCAGTGTGACAGTGTTGAGAGGTGGAAACTTTAAGAGGTGCTTAGGTCATGAGAACTCTGCACTCATGAATGGATTAATGTTATCTTGGGAGTGGGTTCATAATTATGAGAGTGGATTTGTTAAAAAAGATTTCACTCTTCATTTGCTCTTTTTTGTCCCTGTGATGCCTTCTTACATGTTATGACACAGCAAGAAGGTTCTCTTTAGATGCCAACCCCTTGATTGTAAACCTCCTAGCCTCCAGAACTGTGAGAAATAAATCTCTTTTCTTCGTAAATTACCCAGTCTCTGGTATTCTGGTACAGCAGCCCCAAACAGACTAAGACAACCATTAAACTTTCAAAGTTTAGTAAGTGAACAGAAAACACTTTCTCCCATATTTGTATTTAAAGCAGTATAAGTAGAGAGAAAACAAAATTGTAAAGAAAAGATCATTTTGATGGTGTTAGGATGAAAGAAAGGTAAAGTACAGCTTGAAGCTTAGAAAGACAGGACAGAGAGATCAAGGCGATCTGCAGAAGAAAATTTTAAGATAAAATATCTGCCTAAAAGATCTATGGCAACTGTCAAAATGCCAAAGTGAAAGGAGAAGAGAAGATTGTGGAGTTTTCCCAAAGCAACGGTTATGTTTATTTTAGCACCACCGTTATCACCATCATCATTTTGAGAAGACACAGTTCAAATTGCCTTGCATTTAGGGGCTTTTATGTCTTCTTGCAGACACGGTATTAAAGAGTAGAAAAGAGAAGTCTGATTAAGACCTAATATAACTCATTGTAATGAACATAGTTGCCTTGCGCTGTAAATATTTTGTTTAAAAATATTAACAATTTGCATAGCCCCAGGACTCTTGTACCATCTGCAGAATTCTAGTTTCTTCAGCCTAGGAAGACAGAGCAGGAAGGATAGAGCCACAAAATACGCTACCAAGCTAGCTTCATCATTTAAGTGCTATCATGCTTGCTACATAAAAAAATCATCTGACATTTTGTTTCCAAATTTTTTGTTCTTATAAATCAAGATTATCCGAAAAACAGCAACAGGTAGTTTTCCTTGCTTAAAAAATAAAAAA